GCAACATTGGAGTGTTTTTTCTGTTTGACTCAAGTGGTGGCTACCCCCATTTTAGGTTGTTTACAGCCTGCCGAGAGATCCGGGAAAGTAGAAAAGAAACTTTGGTGTGATGGCTCTAGTTTTATAGCCTGGAATATGGCAGACATTTTATAGTTTGTGCATATTTTTTTAAGAAACAGCTACCGTATTTGAAAGTAAGAGAGAAGTATAAAAAATCATGAAAATTATCAAATGGAAAACGACATGAATCGATTAATAGGGTCAAAGTTTTTATTGAATATTTTATAAGTTTCTCACCCCATTCTTATTCGTTATTTGGCTATCTAAATCATTAATTTTTTAAGCTGTTTAAGTTCTACGTAGCTGCTTTGTCAGGTTCGACAAAAACCCTGTAAAAAGCGTGTTCCCCCTTTTTTTTAAGATTTTTTCCGGATACCTGCGTAGGAGTTAGAACGAACTAGCGGGCACGAGAAACTAGAAGACACAAAAACTAAAACCTAGAGATATACGGGTTATTTTGAAGTCAGAATCTTCGAATCTGTCAAAAATAGGCACTTATTCTGCCCCAAAACCGCCACCACTTCACAAAAACTTCCAAAAAAGCGGAAACGCATTAAAAGCGCGGTGCTAGCTAAATAGGCACGTATTGGAGCAGTTCGGTTCGGGTCAGTAGTGGAGGCCAATTATAAACGTGATCCCCGAATCGCCCGAATTGTTTGTGTGTGTCGCCTGTGATCGGGCGAGGGATCAATATAGAAAGAATTTTCAGGGCGGCGCGCAGAGGGATGGGTCCTCACTTTCCTTTCTCTAACTCGCTCTTTCTCTCTATCCCTCGCTCTCTCTCTCGCTCGCTCTCTAACTCTCACTTTCTATCCATCAGATTGTGTATGCCCAGGTACCCCATCCTGTGGAGTGGCCCAGTCATCCCGCCAGGTGGGGCCCACACCCTTCGGATGGAGACAACGAAAAAGTGATGTTCTGATGAGGAGTGGCTTTTCGGTATCTCTCTCTCGCTCTCTCTCCGACTGTTTCGTCTCTGTAAATCTCAAGTTTTTGTCGGCTCGCGTGAAGTTCTCGAGGGGCCAAACTACACACCATTGTAAACTGGAATCTTTAGCTAGGAGCTTGTCCTTATGCCAAAGTGTAACTTCCGGTAAGCGCCCAGAATTCGGACACGTATGATGGCATATTTCGTATGTCGTATATCCATGAGAGACGCTGCTAGAACGGTAAGAGTGAATTGACTGATAATTGAATGGTAAGACAAGGGTATGCTTTAGTAAATCGACAAGTCAGAACGAAGAGTGTAGCCTCTGGAGAGTAGTCGCTAATTGTGTGAAAAGTGTTATTCATTTAGCGCCAAGAATCTCTCGACAATCCGGGCTGCCGGCCCAAACGACGTGTGAATTCTTCATGGCTGCGCGACCAGCTGACTGGTGATGAATCAGCACTATGGAGAAGGTTATTTGCCACCGATGAAGTTCTGCCTAGGCCGGGTAGTGTAAATAATCATCGTCTTACCTCATTCCGGTTTTATTGAACAGTTAATAAAAATATCATATACGTATGAAGATCACTCATTCTCATCTCATCGGGGCATCCGTGGCCGCAGGTAATTGACAGGGAAAAATAAATTAAAAGTCATCCGACCTGTCCTCGTTATGACTTGGCAGATTTTCTCGGCCTCTTTTTTCGATGCTATCGGATAGTGGCTGGACGAATTAGTAAGCTTAAGGTCGCCCAGCCTGCAAATCTATCACGAATCTCAGTCTACACGCTGATCTGAAGGTTTCTTGCAATGCAAATTTCGGTAATCTGGTCATGTTCATGCATTCCATACCTCCTCAGCGTCATAAGTTAGGCTGAGACATGATTTTCTGCCAACTAGTTTTCTAGCTAGGTTTTCAGATAACGGTTCGAGCGTGGCAGCTTTACGCAAATCTAACAGCCAAACATGAACCTTCTAAAATTCGCAACTTATATCCCTTTACTGATTCATTACAGGCTTTTTCAGTTGACATCGGAATACAAGGTGGAAAAACTGTGCCAAGCTTTGTTCGGGTGATTCTCGGAAGGTCTTTTTGTCTGTCTGTCTGGATCGGCGCTTTAGCGAATGGTGCCAAAGGCGGTTTGAATAAGTGGTATAATTTCGAAAGATGCGGTGATCATGTGACGACAGTGATACAAACACCGCGTGGTGTAATTCGTGGAACCGTTAAGCGGCGCTAATCGCTAGCTTTAATCATAATCAGGCCGGGGGGCACGATCCCCCCCGAAATCGGTCGGGGTCCGAAAAGTTCATAAGGGGGAAAAAAAAAAATATATGGATTTTTCGCACAGATTTTTCTGATTTCAGATTTTCAGATTTTTCCGAAATGTCGGTTCCCGTACGCGCCTGTCGACGGCAGTGCGGTTCCGATAGTGCGGTGTCATCCCATCTTCGCGAGGTGATCTCGTCTTTTTTGAAACATTTATTTAATTTACGTTTATTTCTAACGTGTATTTTCGAGAACAATTCCAAAGCTAAAAACCGTTTGACCGCCGGAACGATTGACGTTCTTCTTGCAATCTTAGCCTTTCCCTCTGTGTGTGAACCGCCTCTTCGAGCCTCTTTCTTACGTCTGCAGGGTGATCAACCGTGATCTGAAGGGCAGGTTTCATTTCGCGTTGGAAATATCTTCAATGCCTCCAGGCCTTGACGACGGGCCGGGCCGAAACTTGGGGGGCCCCGACCGGGCCCGGGCCTGGATTCGAGTGTCCGGGCCGGGCCGGGCCGGGCCGGCTGGGCCCAGAAGAGTCCTGGTCCATGATTTTCGAAGAAAATTTTTTGAATTCTGAACCAAAAATCGGCGTTTTTTCGATATTCGTTCATTCGTTTCGATTTTTTTCCGGTAATTTGTCTTTTCATTCGAAAATATCAATAATCTACCGTGGCCGGGTGATTAACAACCCTGGTTTCTAACTGTAAAGTGTTTTTACTCAACTTGGAGTTTCGATTCGGGACCAAGCGCATCTTGTGCAGAATTTTTCGCTGATTCCGAATATGTTTTCCAAATTTGCTACGGACTTTTATTTAAAAAAATCATTTTTGGTAGAATATTAGGGCCGAAAAATGCCAAAAATTCAGACGCTGGCCCACTATTCATTGTTTGGGGCTATGGTTCCAAGGGGCCCTGAAGTACCCTCTGACAGCACCCTACGCAGTTGGCACCATGGTGCATTGGCAAAGTACTCGCTTGCCAAACGCAGGGCGGCGGTTCGAACCCCCGCCCTGCATCATTTCTTTTGCTTTTTGCATAAAAACCTCATCCTACTATATATAAAAAAATAGTGTTTGTGTGTGTGTGTGTGCCACTTTGCATGCAACTTCCGTCAGCGTGTTCCAGTCGTATCTCAAGAAGGAGAGTAGTTAGGGGCAGGTTTGCTACGTCATTAGATGCGTAATGGGCTGGAGATGACTGCACGCATATCAAATTTATCAAAATGGCTTATTTTCGACATTAAATTTTAGTTTTTTGTTGAAAATCCGAGACCCACTCTGTAAGGAATCAATTAGCATACGACCGGAAGTTGCGGGAACCATAGTAAAGGAGCAGAGAACGCATTTTTCATTTTTTTAGCATGGGTCGGACCGAATTATGCAAAGTGTAAACTTTCATTGGTCCAAAACAGGGCCAGGGTTGAAAAGTCGCGAAGCGGCTTTTCAACCCTGGTTTTGATCTAAAATGCTTGTTTTGAGCTGTAGGATGCTTGTCGAGCCAACGCCTAGTCAATTTTGACGTTGAAATTAATGAAGAAAATCGAAAACTATAACGATACTTTCATTTTGGTGAAACCTAGGGTCATAATTGCCGTATAACTTTCAGAATAACGGTCCGTAGCAAATTTGGAAAACATATTCGGAATCAGCGAAAAATTTTGTACAAGATGCACTTGGTCCCGAATCGAAACTTCAAGTTGAGTAAAAACACTTTACAGCAAGTGTTTTTGAAGCTATAGACGGTTTGGAAGCCGGAAATATTTTTCTTTTGGCCTGAATGGACTAGCAGGAACTTTTGGATTGTTTTGCAACCTGATTTAGGGTATCATCAGAACCAGCTTCATATTTCAGGCGATAAACTGCAGAGTATCCAGAAAAAATTATCGATAAACGTCCTTACCGTTGTAAATAGGTTGTATTTTTCAGACAATTTGTAAAGCTTTTATGTTCAGAATTAGTTAAAAAAGTTTAAAAAGTACTGTCTCTATTTATATCAGAAATCCCCCTCATAGGCGAAAAATTTTGATCCGCCCGCTCTGACCTTAATTAGTACCGGGCTCGGGCCTGAAATTCCCATTTCGTCCCTGCGGGGCCGGGCCCGGGCCTGGCTGGGCGGCGCCCCTCAGGCCCGGCCCGGCCCGGTCGGCCCGTCAAGGCCTGAATGCCTCTAGCCAATGCTTAGGGTATCATGGTACCGTGATACATTTCTTCACAATTATCGTACCGGCTTATGACAATGGCGAAAATAACAAGCTTAAATCTAGTGCAATGTTTTGCATAGATAAATCCTGCCAGAAGCTTTTTCGGTTTTTTATAATTCCATCGATCTGTGGTAGGCGAAAAGTAACAATAAATGTCATTTTTCGCATAACCTGCGTACCTTGATTAGATCCTTCGCGGCCCAAAAAGTCGCGATTTGACTTGCCATATCTGTCTCGTAAGCTATCTTCTGAGCAGCGTCGTCATCGGGCGGTGAAAAGCCTTCTGGGAGCACCTCGTGGCAAAGAGATCCCAAAATTACTGCAAAAAAGGTACTGTACATAAGAAAAACTCATGGGCCCCTAATTTTTTACGGCGCACGCGAGGACTGAATAGAAGTAGGATTGCCGGACCTTGGAAGTATTGTTGGATAAAAAGGGCATTTCTCGTAAATTAACAAAAGAAGCCGCTCAGTCGCTTATTTTGTTAATTTGCTCCAATCCGTTTTGAGAGCATGTCAGCGCAATAAGGTATAGTATCAAATACTCATGCTCCCTTGTCGAGCGGGCCCGTCATCGTTCATCAGCGGCTTCTGGAATTTGATGATTGCGTGCAGTCGGTTAGACATTCGTTGCAACATTCCGGTCAATTCGGACATGTTCACCATCGTTATACCTGAACGAACATTTTTTAAACCTTGCAACATTAATTGCTGCAAAAGTCACACATGGGCTATCTTTTGAAAATGTTTTACAGGTCTTCCGATTTGGCCGCTACGGTATGGGGTAATTACAGACCTGTAAAAAAGCCGCCCTCTCGCTCCAAGCCCTTAGCTCGCGAAGTCTTTAGCTGGAAAAAACTTTTACGTTTTGGGAAAATTTCGGGAAACGAGTTTTTCGCCAAAACCCAAGCCCTGGTTCGAAGAAAAGTAATGGCACAATGTCTTTGTCGCTCGTTTCAAACCCACTGGAACAACCGATTTGAACTTTTTATGAATGTTCTGGTGGGCTTTGTTTTGGAACGTTCTATCCCGTGTGGACTCTCCTAGGACACAAAAATTGAGGTCGGAGAAGTTTCGCAGAAAAGCGGGTTAAAGTCTCGAGGCTACTATGATACCTCTGCATACAGCATGCTTTCTGTATTTGCTCACGCTACATTTCACGCAAATCAAAAAAATCTCGAGCAGTAAACGACACTAGGGCCTTAGATCGTCACAATTGGACATTGGATGGCAAAGTTGCAACCACCTGAAACTTGGTCGATTTCATATCAGGTTGGTAGATAAGTCTTGTCACAAATTTTTGAAATCGTTAACCGAGCCGACAACCCGACAACCTTTGATACAATATTTGATAGGTCCTGGGCTCCTCGACATTGGGAGGAGCCGCATGAGGTTGACAATTGACAGGCGCCGATATACAAGCGCGATAAACTTTTTGAATAGCGAGTTATCGCTGCATATGGTGATTTGCAAGCGAATTGCTAATGCGATTTTGTCTGTTAATGGGAGGTATCTAAGTTTGTGGAGGGCGGTTGGCTATAGGAGGTATCTGATGCGATTAGCGTGGGTATTGATGAAGGTAGGAAGTGATGTGGTGGTGGAGAATAATGAGGGTAGCGCGAAGGCCAGCCGACTTCAGCCGCAAAACGGCTGTAATCGGCTAGTATGCAGAGGTAACGCGCTCGAAAGCTGTGACTGGTTTTTGAGTGAAATTTTTCGAAGCTGCATCTCCGTGGCCCGCGACTTTGGGGTCCTAGGAGGGTCATGCCGAGGTAGAGCATCGCAAAACCTGTCAAAAAATGTATCGAAAGTGAAAATCGGACTTAGCTGCGGCTTGAAGGAGCGATTTCAAAACTTTGTGACAGGACTTGACTACCAACCTGATAGAACTGTTGCCAAAATGCCTTACATTCGTGCAACTTTTGATCGCAAAGAGGAAGATCATTGCTGCATTCCTTTAACAAACTAATGAAACCATTTTAGAAAGAATGAAACAAATTCGCGATGATCGAAAGTTGGCCATAAAATGCCCAATTTTCAGGATCTCGAGGCCTAGAGACATCTACTGATCGAGATTTTTTCGATCGGCGTTAAAGGGATGCCCAACCTTTTCGGGGCTCAAAAAGCAAAAACCATGCCGCGGGCGGGGGTCGAACCCGGGACCCCCGTTTTGTAGGCCTGGATGCTATCCATTAGGCCATAGTGGCAAGCCATTGCGTGGGATGGGGACGCCACAAGAGGGAAAGGTGTCCGAATTCTGTGCGGTAATGGCGCCCCATTGCCGCACAAAATTCGCGCGTGATTTGTACTGCCCGGAATCCATAACTATATATTTGCCTGCAAAACCTTGGGTATCCCTTTAAAGGTGCTCCGAAGTCCCAAAAAGTGTGTTACGGCCCGAAAAGCGCTGCACGTCGAAGGCATTTGCACACCCCAGAGCGAGGGGAGCGCCTGAGTTTGAAATTGTCCGTTGTCACCGCCAGAACCCGTGCTCGGTTTCTGTGCCAACTTCAATGTTCAAAAGACCAAAATTATTTAAAATTAAAAGGTAAAAATAAAAAATTATAACCAAAAAAATTAAATAAAAGGCCCCTCCCAAAAGGGCTTTTATTTGGCATTTCCGCGCTCCTTAAAGGGTATTGCATGCAAATCGTCATATGCAGAGATATTTCGCTCCACGCTTCGAAAAGTTCTTTAGTAAAACTTTTCGGAGCTGTATCCCGACGTTCATAAATTTTTGAGCGGCGGAGGGGTCCGCCATGATAGTGCGACCTAAGCCATAGCACAGGATTTTTTTAATTGATCATTGAAATCGGCGATGTCTGCAAGTTTTAGAACGAGTCAAAGATTTTTGCCATTATTTTATTTCCAACTTGATACAAGTGAATTAATGGGTGTATTGCCGATGATTGATATTGTTATCACCTACCAGGTAGAGACAATGTTCTTCATCCCCAATGAAGTCGAAAATCTCGGCTTCCATATTTAAAGCTAGAAATTTAATAAGAAAGCGGCACGCCTTACTTTCGGTATCGATGTGCACGGGCTTGAAGCCCGGTCCAATCAGTAGCCGATCCCCGCAGTAGCTACCTAACGATCTCTCAGCATGTAAAGCCAGAAGTGCCCCAAATTGTCGATCATTGCCCATCACAAAAATTGGGTAAGCCGGCAATTCCTGCCTTTTTTCCACTTCCTTTAGCAGATCGACAATGAGAAGATACAGGATGTAATGTAGTTCATGTAGCTCCCAACACATTAAATAACGAAAGGCTTTTTCGTAAAGCGAATGAGCCCCGATGAACTCTTGTGTTGTGGCCGTGTTTCCGTCAGATGGTGAGCAAATCCAGCTAGGGTCCAACTAAAGAGAGCATTTGTCATCCATTCGGAACAACAAATTACTTTACATAACCCCATAACATTCTTCAATCTGCATAGATCTCTCGTCTTTGACGAGAAAAAAATGAAAAACACCACCCCCTCGCGCCATATATAGGTTACCGCCACTCCGGCGTATGCTAATTATTTCCTAGCAAAGAGGGTACCCGGTTTTTCAACAACAATTGAATTTTAATGTCGAAAATAGCATAATTTGCGAAATCTGGTAAGCGTGCAGTCATCTCGTGGCCATTACGCACCTAATGACGTATCAAGCGGGTCCTAAGATTCATCGCCTATCGAGATATCCGCCGGATACCCGGACGGAAATTGCATGCAAAGTCGTCTACCGCTTTGAAATACACGTGTCGGGACACCTTCCGGTCTTTTGTACTCACAGTCGTCCATCCAGATATCCTGCCTTCCTCAGGCCCCGCTGCTTGGGGAAGCGGCCAGGGCTTGCAGCCTTCGATTGTCGGTGGTTTATTAGGATGGAATACATAAAGTAGCGGTAACTGGGCCAATTCGGGCGGTGCTCTTTGATTTGCCCATCTGGAAAGTAAAATTGCCGTTCCTTTGTAGGTCTTTTTTCGTAAATAGGCGCTACTTAAAATAAGCGGACGGCGTCTGATAGTGTGCTTCAAACGACCAACTTGCATGACAAAGCCTCGAGGATTCGGTCTTCGCGGATTTCAGGCCACGAGTTGAAGCGGCTCATAGCCGACAGTCGATCTCCCAAAACGCGGCGAAGATTTTCCCCTTCCGGCCTGGCGGTCCCAACCATTGTCCAATCGAATCTTGAAGCGCACTTTTGCACAGCTAAAATTAAACTAAAAATTTTGTTGGCGTCATTTTTCACTTATCCGCACGATTACTACTTAGTAACTCCGTAGGTTTTTGAGTACTCACGGGGAGATCGACTCTTTCCTTTGGACCCATGTTGGGCCAGTAATCCAATAGAAAGTGTTTTCTCCAGTTTTTAATAAATTATCAACTATAATAAAAAAGTAGTGGTGTCCGTCCGTCTGTGTGCCGCAAAATTCAACTCGAAGGCGAAAGGAGCTAGAGTTTAGCTCTCTTCGGATTCGGACAGATCGTGGCCAGGAACCCCCAAACTGATAAAAAATCACGAAAAAGTTTTTGTCTAAAGTATTAAAATTAACTTTGAAAGTGGCGCCTTAAAAGGCCGTTTGCCAGAGAGCCAAACTAGGCTTGTCACAGTTTTTTTTGACCCCGTTTTTTGAAGCCATATGTAAGAGCATGGTCGAATTAGCAGGGCTGCATAGTTTTAAATGTTTAAATAGTTCATTTTTGGGGGTTTAAATGGACGTTAAAGTTCACTACCTCGAAAAATAGCTCGAAACTCGATTCAAAACTACGCATCCTACTATATATAAAAAAATAGTGTTTGTGTGTGTGTGTGTGCCACTTTGCATCCACTTCCGTCTGTCTGTCCGGAGGATATCTCAAGAAGGGACGGGTATTAGGCTACGTATTATACGTCATTAGGTGCGTAATGGTCTAGGGATCAGATCAGATTCTTATATCAGATATATAATATCAGATTTTTAAAAATTAGCCATTTTCGCTATTAAACTTAGGTTTTTGTAAAAACCTCTTTGTTAGCAATAATTAACATAGACCGGAAGTGGGCAGCCGTCTATATAAAGAGGCAGAAAGGGTTGTTTTTCATTCTTTTGTCTTCTGAATGGAGGACAATTATGCAAAGGGCAGAATAGTATGGGGTCCGAGACGGGGCCAGGGTTGAAAGTCGCGAAGCGGCTTTTCAACCCTGGTCCCTACTAATTCGACCATGCTCTTTCATATGGCATCGAAAAAATGGGGTCGGAAAAACTGTGACAAGCGATACTGGGCCCTGTTCGGGTGCTTCGCGGATGGCCTTTTAAAGGGCTGGAGAAAGATGGGCCGGCGTCCGTCGGGGTGACGGACCGCCGCGGCGCTACCATCGACGCTTTCCCTCGCGTAAGCGCCCCCAAAACCCCCTCTCGCGTTTGAAGAAACCAGTTTATTGGCTATAACTTTTTCATTTAGCAATGTTTTCAACTAAAAATGGCCTGAAACCAATGACTTGGTGATACGCATCGATGGTAAAAATTTGAGCTGGATTGGATAGAAGGCGACCAAGTTCTGGGCGATTCGGGGTTTTGGGACACTGTTTTGGCTGAAAAAGAGGCGCATAGACAGCAAAACATCTATAGAAAGTTGCAAAGTACGTTGCTATCCTTTAGCAAGGTTTTCTACAACATTTTTTAGCTATTAGCACCATGAAATTGCTTTATTTCTAATGGCAGTTCTTGTACAGGTGGCAAGGCGCGCTAGGGTATGTGGGGGCCCTCCGCCGCCCCTCTCCACTCGACTCTCTGGTGTACTGGCTAGCGCATCGGACTGCGGGGCGGACCATCCCTGGTTCGACCCCCGTCCGGTGCGACCCTCTTTGCTCTTTCAGCGATTCCATCTTTCTCCAGCCCTTTAATAAAACGCGTGGGGGCCCCTCTCCCGGCTGGTCACGCCCCTTTCACCAGGCCCATTCCCGCGCCCAGATCGCTGTTTTAAGTTACTTTAATACTTTTTAATGCTTTTTATTTATGTTAATTCATTATTAAAATCATTTAATGTAACTAAAGCCTACGGGAAGGTTTTAGGTAGGTTTTGAAGGGGATTTCAAATGGATATGATGGTGCATTACATGAAGGGCAGGGCCTAATAAATCTGGGGCGGGATTCTCATTTTTCGCATGAAATTCATTCTTTTCCGGAAGTGCTGTATCTCTGTCCATACCCTCCGCAGGAAATTCTGACAACGGCATCGTGTTCTCCGTATCTTTAGCTCTGCGTATTCACCCGGGATATCCGCGAGAGTCTTTCGAAATTTCAACCTGTGCGTGTGCCCTTCCCTTGTTAGGGGTCAATACGTAATCAAAGCTAGGGCTCACCTTCGAAATTCAGTCGAACTGCCCAGCAGTACCAAGACCAATTCATCCATGGATTGTAGTCGCCATACGAAGGGCGATCCCCGGGGCGATAGCCGGTGCCTTGTTTCTTACACCGCAGTCCGAAACTAGCTGCGGCTTCCACATTCTTCAGCGCAATCTCGGTCAACCGCTTCCAATCTTGGGTCCACCCCAAACAACACGCATCCGGGGAAATGCCCATCAGGTAGAGCGCAAAATTCCAAGCACAATCGTGCAGGGTCGCGTCCAGCCAACGCAGCTGCAGAAAGGGATCAGCTTTAAAGAAATGGTATTGGGCCCCTGGCGCAAGCGGAAAGAGCCCGATCTCTTGCTCATATTCCATAGCATTGCTAAGCACTTCATCGTAGTCGGAGGCTCTGGCTGTTAGCACGCTGTGCGGATGATCGGCCTGAAAAAGCAGAGCGACAAGTATATAACGATAACGAGCTTTTGTTTTCATATCGCTAATGCATGGCAATAGACCTTGCAGTTTGAGCAGAGCTTAAGACTAACAAACGTGTTACGAAAAAGAAAACCCAACGAAAGCTAGGCGTTGTAGGGTTAGCTGCTCACCATGACTCATTTACCTTGAATGTCTTGACAATCGAGCTACGAACTGCATTTATTTTCTTGCCATCCAAATCCGCGTCCCAAAATTTTTCACGGAAACGGCCCGCTGGCAAATCGCTCGCAAATTCAGGAATATCAGGAGGAAGCATCACCATTCCCTTTGCGCTTATCGTGCGTCTCATCCGAGATTTACACCTATAACTTATCACGGTAGATTGGTCTATTTGGTTTCGTTTATTTAGGGCTGTCTGGGTATCGCTTTGGGAGCTATTTTGCAAATGGTCCCAAAAAAATGACCGATCTGGCATTTCGCCCTGTTACATCCAATCGGTCCCAAATTAGCACGAAAGGTGTATCAGACACTAAATAACAACAATCCTGACTCATAGCCCTTTAGCTACAGTCGTTCTCGAGTTATAACGAAAATACTGTTTTTCCCGGAATCTGAACAGTTTTTTCGGCTATCTTTTTTGACTTTGCATAGATTTGCATCGACTTCCGGCTGCGAATCCCTAATTTGGCTTAAGAACTTGCGTAACTTTGCGTTGTAAAAATCCCTTAAATCCTACTATCTATAAAAAATAGTGTCTGTGTGTGCGTATGACACTTTACATGCTGTAAACATGTAATATTGATGTAATTATGACTTGAACTTATGTAAAGCGTGTAACGCTAGGAACGACTCAAATCTATGTAAAACCTGTTCAATCAACCTTAATGCATGTTATGCAAGCCACAAGTCTATTCACCCCATCACTTCCGGCACCGATCAGCGAACACCCAGATGACCGGAAGCCAGGTCAAAGGGCACCACGCCATCCAGGACCAAGTCGTCCAACCCCAGGATTTCAACCACTTAACATTCCATTTCCAGATTTCACCACTTCCGCTGCCCACGCCACACAACACCTATAAAATCCGCCCCCAAGATCCAACGAGGACGGCGCCACAGGAGCGCCAGGAGAGCGAGGAGAGAGCGAAATAAGGGAAACCACCTCACCGCCTTTATATCATGTAGATAAAAGTTACTAAGGAGCGAGCCTCCTAAACCCACAACTCAAAGAGTTTACTATGCGACTTCCGTCAGCGTGTCCGGAGGATATCTCAAGAGGGCAGGGGTGTAGGGAGGTGTTTGATACGTCATTAGACGCGTACTGGATTTGAGATGACTGCACACGTATTATACTTTGTAAAATATGTTGTTTTCGACATTAAAATTAAGTTTTTCGTAAAAATTCGGACACCCACTTTGCCAGGATAAAATTAGCATACGCCGGAAGGTGCAGTAGCTTCTATATAGGCCCAAAGGGAGCGCTTAACATTTTTCTGTCATCGGAATTGAGGCACAATTATGCAAAATGAAGAACATCATAGGATTAGACGGGGGCCAGGGTTGACAAGTCGCGAAGCGACTTTGGAACCCTGGTCGAAGCTTATTTAATTAATTTTACTCTGGAAAAAATTTTTAAGATAATGAAGTACTCGCGGATCAAGTTTGTTTTTGCTATAACTCGAGAACTACTGTAGCTGGCGGGCTATAAGTCAGGATTGTGGTTATGTAGGGTCTGATACACCCCTGGTCAAAATTTGGGGCCGATTGGATGTAACACCGCGAACTGCCAGATCGTTTTTTGGGAGTTTCCGTATAAATACACGGCAAAAACGCATACTACATAGTTGGCAGGATCAACCGTAATTTTTGCAGGGACAGAGACAGAGACGGTTTAAATTTAAACGGAAACTGTATGGAACGGAAAAATATTTCCCACCAATTATGCTCCGTTTGATAGAAGTTCAGGATCAAATCATGAAATTCCACATCTAGCTCCAGTGTCTTCAGCCATATGTCCAGCTTTGAGCCTGGGGTGATTGCTGCGCTGGTGGTCGTTGACCTCTCTGCCGCAGATTCTTGAAAAACATCCACGTTGCTCATGTAAAAACTCAGCTCAAAGGAATTATGGAAATTTAATGAGGCTGTTTCCATGTTACCGGCGGTATAACCCGAAGATGATCGGGCGAATGAACTGGTCCCGTGCAATCCAGGCCGGTGGGGATCCATAATACAGTCTGACTCTTTCGAACTTCGAACCATCGTTTTTCAGAGCATTTTTCTTCCTAAAAATGCTGCATTGAAACTTTCAAGTCCCTGTTTCCTTTTTGGCTGTGCCACACGGCACAGTTTTGGTCAAATAGCAGGCAATGTCATGCAAGGCTATATTAGATCTCGAACTGAACCTACCATC